CGCGCCCCCTACCTCGTGGCCTCCCTGTTGGTTGCTTGACGTAGGGTCCAAGTCTCCTGGATCTTGTTCGTTCCAAAAATCACGTTCCCGAAGGTTTCATTCCGTTTCGACTCCATTTGATATTCCTTTTCTTCGAAACCCTAAAATAGGCAAAAAAAACAGCAATTCTGGGCTAGGACTTCGGTTAATAGGTTAGTCCCAAAAATAATATAAAAGTGTATAATAAAGCTCCCAATAATGTCCAAAACAGAAGATAATATAGCATGGAGCAATCAAAAATTATAGATACGTTGGAGACGTATCAATTTCCCCAATGGAAATTTACTTGAAGCTACCTTGAAGAGTGGTGCGTCATTTACATGGCAAAGCATAATGAAGGGCCTAGAAACTTTTAAGTTGGGGTACATATGGAGGATAGGGACTGGCGCAAATGTTAATATTTGGAGGGACCCCTGGATCCCATCGAGTGAGGACCGGAAAGTGATCACAAGGCGTGGACAAACTGTGTTATCCTCGGTCAATGATCTTATTGATCCAACTTCAGGAGAGTGGGATGAGGATTTAATCAAAAGCATATTCAACCCAGTAGATGTTCAAATGATACTACAAATTCCGCTGAATTATGGATCGTTTGACGACTTCATTGCATGGAATCCAGACCGTAGAGGTTACTTTACAGTAAAATTTGCATATCAAATACAATGGACTAAAACTTTTCAGGCCCGTGCAAATGTATTGGCCCAGCCCGGGGGATCAAATACACCAAAAATATGGAGTACAATGTGGAAGATCAAAGTTCCACGGAAGGTTCAGATTTTTTGTTGGCGCATTCTTCAAGGAATTATCCCGCTAAAGTCAATCTTCACTAATAGGCACATTGGTTCAGATGGGGCATGTCCAATCTGCCATCAAGATGCAGAGGACATTCAACACCTCTTGTTTGATTGTGATCACGCAAAAGAGCTCTAGAGTAACCTGGGCATTGCAGATTTGGTGGAAGAGGCAAAGGAAATAGATAAATCCGGGTCTGTGACCATGGAGCACCTCCTTTTGATGCAAAATAAGCCACTGCCAATTAAACCAAATTTGAACATCAAGCAAGTACTTGTGGTGGGCTGTTGGTTCTTATGGTGGATTAGACGTCAACACACACATAATAGTAACCCTCCACCCCCATGTGATGGCATATGTCAGTCTTGGCAATTACAAACAATTTCCAGGAAGCTAATTATAAACCGAGTGGAGACAGGGAAAGGAGGTGGGTTAAACCTGGCCCTAGGTCTGTGAAATTGAATGTTGATGCAGCTTTCTTTGCTGATGAGGGATCAGGAGCAACATCAGCAATTATCCGAGATGAAAAAGGTAATTTCCTTGCCGCTCAGTGCAAAGTTATTGATCATGCGGCAGATGCTATTACCACTAAATCTTAGGCAATGTGTGATGGTCTAATACTCGCAAACTCTCTTGGATTCCCCCGTGTTGAGGCAGAGTCAGATTCTTTGAATGTTATCAATTTCTGTGATGGTCAATCCAGATGGTGGGATGCGGCGACAACAATATTCGCGGAGTGTGTGGATGTTGCTTCTTCTATCGGGAAGGTTGTCTTTATGCATTGTTATTGCTCGTGTAATAAAGCGGCTCATGTGCTAGCTAATTTCAGTTATTGTAATAAGGTTTCTTCTAGTTGGACAGTCGAACCTCCGGACTGCCTTATGTCCGTGCTGGTAGATGATGTAATCCCTTCGTTTAATTAATAAAGCTAGCCAGGATGGTCTTCCCTAAAAAAATTTTGATAACTCTTCTCCTTCAGCAAACTCATCGTCCAAGGCTCCAAGCTCCAACTATACTTGTCTATTATCCAAACCATCATGGAAGAATGATTAATTCCCCATGTATTCTAATAATGCTTTAAATCCTTTATCCAAATACATGCTAGATACTGCTGCAAGAGGAACTTTTATGAGAGAGCATGTCACGCTGGTGCAAAGAAACTTCTAGATGTGGCATGTTGAGTGATTAAGTGATTAATTTTTAGAAAGGTAAATTCAATCACCGAAGAAAAGAATGAAGAGCTTACAGAAAACAATCGATGAGCCTAAAGGTATGATTAAAGACATAAATTTTTTCCTACAAATGCTTTCACTGATATTGAGATGAATGATGTCAACTTCATCGTTTGCAATGGTTATAATACTGGGTGTAAGAATCAAAACTATACTAATAATCTAAACCCACCATATCCTAGCAATCAAATAATTATAATAGCAGAGCTATCAACAATAATCACCAAACTCTAGGATAGCATCAAAGCTATTATACCGTGCAGACCAAGCAAAATAATTATAATAGCAAAGGTAGCAATGTTAAAGCCTATGCCTTTGTCGAGTGTGTGCACGGTAATTTGCAAGCACATAAAACGTTTAAGCATATTTGATGTCACAAAATTTCAGATTTTTTTTATTTTGGTTTATTTTTATTTTTTTGATTTTACTGCTCATGAGGGTGTAGGGACACCCGGGAGCTATCACACCGTTCTCTTAAGTTTAACTAGAGGAGATTCATGGAGCCCTCCACCCTTAAATACATGGCAAAAGCAAATACATCATCACAACACCAGACAGAAACCTCCGAAATGCTTTAGCACTCATCACTTAACTTACACAAGGAGGATAATGATCCAAGAAGTCCATGTATCTTTCCCACAAGGCTACAAAATGTGTGCATGTGTTTGGAGCTACTGTATTTTCATGAACAGCCGTGTATAGATCACTTTTTTCTGAGCTGGGTGTATAGGTCACTTGGCCTTGGTGCTTTGAGACACCTTCAAGGATTCCATAGCTTTCCTGCACATTTCATGAACTGTTAGAGCTATGCTTGTTGCAAATGCAATTAACGCGGAATGTTGTGAGTACTTCTCAAAATCTCTAAAATCCTCATTCGAGGATAAAATCATAAAAGAGAACACTAGCAATGAAGGGAATGCTTAAAAGATAAAACTACATGTCCGACATGCAGAGGCATTGAAGGTTTTTTAAGTAAACGTCGATGCTTCCTAAAAGGAATAACTTAAACCGGCTGATTTCTCGCTGCGTCGTGAGGCGTCCGATTGAACAAGATCGTACGGCGCACTTCGCTTGCATGCAAACTCGCATGAGTTGGCCTGGAAGCACATCCACGTTCTCATGAGGCCCACCAACTGCCAACCTTATCTCCCTGGAGACCAGCATGCGTGAGCCACCCGTTTCGCATCTCCCCCAAAACGCGTTCTTCCTTCTTCGTCTCTAACCTCCCGCTCTCTCCGCCATGAATGCTACCACAGAACACCGGTGCTTCTGTGCAGCACGCATTGAAGTCGCCGGTGATTGCGATGCAGCACTCGTCGGTGCTGCAACAGCTGTCGGCTGCATCTGTCATTGCCGTGAGAAGTGGGGCATCCTCACCGGCGTTGACTGCTACAAAGCAACAAGGCGTGCGTGAGCTGCTGCAAGGCGGTCGGTGCAGCGAGAGACCGCAGCTCATGCTGCAGCACATCCACGACTGCTGCAAGTCATGTTACGTCGACGGTCTGACGATGGTCTGAGAGCGGTGCTGCAATGGAGCATTGCCGTGGGTACTTGTGTTGGAGCTTTTGCTGCGCTACACAATGCTTCCATGGAGCTCCAATGGAGCATCGACGTAGCCATGGTGCTGCGCTGTAGCTTTGCATGCATCATGCAGTGCTATCATGAAGTTGCAACTTCTACAGCACCGTCATTGTTGTGTGGGCGAGGGATGCAACGGGACTGTGGGCGGCGCTGCACTCATCGGGGTCGCAGCATCGCCGCTGCTGCGAGGTCGCCGGCGACAGCAGGTGCGTCAGTGCTTCAGTCGCCGGTTTTCTCTTTGCATCATCACAGTTTGCTAGGCGGGTGTCACACCAGCGGGGGCTGCTGGATGCAAGACGAGAGGAGAAGGATGAATGGGTGGCTGAGTTGATATGATCTGATGGGCCAAATGCGCCTAATCGGACGGTTTGCTAGCCGGATGATCTGTAGCAGCCGCCTTCCTAAAATCCCCGAACAAACTTAAAATGGGATACAAAAGTCCAATCCTACGTTACACAAAGTTAAACTTTCAAGGTAACCATGTGATGTCATGAGGCAAGCGCTTCATAGACAATTAGCCTCCAGTGCAAGAGTTATCACCATAAGATAGATATGCTGTAACTGAAGGAAAGATAGGGTAATACCGCAATCCGTCCTCGATTTCAGCATTCCCTGGGTCCATCTTCAATACGTTCAGAAGCGCATCGCATGCACCCTTGTAGTCCTGATGATACGGGACCAGTTCAATGATTATGAAAGATTTGCAAAGCCGAAAGAAAAAGTCAAGCTGCTGTATTTTCTATCCAACCTTCAGTAACGCTAGAGCTTTGCTCTCCCTGTAGAAGGCCTTCGACCAATCAGGCCGCCTCTTTTTGCATTCATAAGCATCCAGTAAACTGAGCAAAGGCTTGCCTCCTTTGCCTATGTGAAGCCAGCAAAGGCTCCTGTTTGAGAACAACGTCGCATCATCAGGATCAAGCTCCAGTGCCTACATCGAACATGTTAAAACAACAGTTAATAGCAGATTACGTTTGTAAATTACAACTTTGTGAACACTGAAATAGGAACTGAAAATACTCAAAGAAGAAATACACACATTGCCGCACATATATGTACATATACAAGGTTTAGTTTACCTAACTTCAGTTCTAAATGGTTGTGCAGGACATTCATGCATGGATCATATGAAAAAACCAGAAATAACAAGTTGGGAAACCAACACCATAAAAAATATACTTCTTCTGTAACACTTAAGCGAAGAGTTCAAATGCTTTGCAAGGAAATTTCTAGTCTGCACTTTAAAACATACGTATAGTTTAAGTTGCATTTCTTACCAATTTAATCCAGTTTACTACTCCCTCTGTCCCATAATATAAGAACGTTTTTTACACTAATGTAGTGTAAAAAACGTTCTTGTATTATGGGACAGAGGGAGTAAGTTTGAGCCAATTGCATAAACTTCTAAAGAGTCAAACTGAGCATTATGACATGAGAGTGGACAGGAGTATCTGTGTAAGTCGTTATGATTTGCGCAGTAAAAAATTGGAGGCTGGAAAAGGATAGACGCTGAGAAATATGATGCCATAATGTACCATACTGTAGGCTTCTGCTGCAGAAAGAAAATCCTTTCTTGCAACTGCCTTGCTCCCTTGTGACTTCAATTCTGCTACTTTCTTTCTATCCACAGGCTCCTCCTGAATCATCAAGATTTAATCGAAAGTTGATTTGATGCATTGGAACGCATAATAATTCTAAAGCAACTATCTAAAACTGTGATGTAAAGATTTCAAGAAAAAAGATTGTTGATTTACATAGAAATCTTCTGCTCATCATTGCTATGATAGCAGACATAGTGTTTCCACTTTCAAGTACTCATGACAATCGACTGGCAACCATGTTCAGTATTGTACTAAAGATTACTTGCTGCCCGCATTATCATGAATTGGCAATACTTCCTTTCAGTAACTACTAATATCAGCATTGCACATCCTACATCTACGCAACCTCGCTTGCCATGTCAGTCCACCCCATCTTATATCTTGTAAATACTCTTTAGGCAATTTCCACATAACTACAGGTAATCACCTCTTGTGCACAGTCGGTAAAAAAGGATTTGCTGAGAAATTTGTAACTCGGCTAATGCCATATTTTCTCCTGATTCATGCCTTTGTTTTGTTCCCGAAATATTTACAAGGCCAACAATGTAAATAAATGTCAAATAATAATACACTGCTCAAGCAGCAGTGCATTAGAACTGGACATACTACTTTTACATGACCTACCTTTACTGCACCCAAGTACTCCATGTCTAAGTAAGACACAAGAGATACCAATTTCTTTGAAACATTTCAGAGCAGCTTTCAGACAGGATATGCAACAGTGCCATTTCAACAACTTGATCTTTTCTTTGGTAGCATGAATGAAATAAACTGTATGAATACGAAATTATTTTGAGCCAAGTCATTAGCCAACTTGAGGAGGCATGCTGCTGACATAATCAGCAGATTTAACATTGATTTATGCAGAGCTAGTTATTCTGCTGATGCTCCAATCACACAGGGGATCAGGTAAGTTACAGGAAATAATTTCTACCAGTATCATTCCAGTCAGGAAAAACTATCACTGCAGGATGCATTTAGTCAAGCAAGCACCAACTTTTTGACAATTTATTTTAGAATATACTCCCTCCGTACTAAAGTTGAGTCACTTATGTTGGGACAGAGGGAGTACATGATAATGAAATAAGTAAATTTTGCAACAAAGTAGTAATATCATACTTCTGGTTTGGCAATTTCCTCTTGAATATACAAGATTTCCTTGAAGCAAAACTTGCTGCCTTGTTAAAAAAACTGCAAGGTTCAAAGTGCACGAGTACAGTAGCAAAGAGATAATCTTACTTACATCATTACGAGCACGCCATTCACCACCAAACCCCAGTAGGCAATTCAAGCACTCCGCTGATCCATTTCTTGGAGCATCAGCTAAAGCGGTTAAGATAAAATCTCCATTGGCAACAGCACCAGCCTATATGGGAAAAAGTTAATCAGTTCTCAAGATGTCTCAGTCACGCATCATATTTTTATGTGCAATTTCAGAAGTGAAATAGCAAGGCCAAGGCTACTTTATTTGCAAGCATGAAGTGAGTACTGGGATTTTTGCTTCATTGTCATCACATTTGTGGCAGCTAGTTGATGGTCACAGTTTCAGAAATAAAGGTTAAAAGACAGACACTGATAAGTGCACTGCAGGGCTAAACAGGACGGCATGCCATGTGGTAGCCTATGGTCACGAACCAAATCCCATGCAAACAAAGCTAAAGTTCACTAAGCTGGAACTTTTAAATGTTGGAAGCAAAAACACATCCAATATACGATTCCAGGGACAGGCAAAGCTAAGTTAAAGTTATCATACCTGAATCAGGAGTTTTGCACATTTCACCGAGGAGACATTTATAGCAAAATAGAGAGGTGTCATACCATTTATCATCTTGTTGTACTGGAGAGAGACATTAAGCATGTTAGTTCCTACACTTATATCTATTGATACAAGGGATACAGGAAAATTAAACTACAGATAGAATGGTGAATACATAGAGCAATATTAACATGGCAAATTTCAGTAAAAACAGAGAGAGCAGAGAGAACGGTTTCCATGGCATTGGAAAATGAATCAGAACATTGTGAACATATGGTTATGGAATATCTTGTGTTTAGTTCCTGGCCAAGTATTCACTAGTACACTTTATTCAATTCCAAATGGCACTTAAAAAGGAGGGACAATACATGATAGAGAATAATCTATTATGGAGATTTGCAAATACACCAAAGGAAAATTGTTCTCAGAATAAATTGTTCATTGCATAAAAGTTGGAGCTTGGCAAAACCAAAAATGATAGAACTGTACAACTCTGATGGAACCGTATTTCTTTGGTGAAGAGGAAACTACGCCTCAGACCAACCTTTTAGATTGCATACAATGCTATGAATGTTCAGGCAGAATTAGTATGCCATAAACTTACATCTGCATTGTGGCCAAGTAAAATCTTCATAGCACAGTCTTGCCCTTCAGTAGCAGCAATATGAAGTGGTGTCCCACAGCAAGTTACCGGGTCGGTGCAAGCTCCTCTTGCAAGTAATAGCTTTACCATTTCACAATATCCTGAATAAAGGAAAAACCAGGTAGTTATTACATAAGTGGACAAGCAATTTTAGCGATAATACATTTCTTTCCCGAAGCCTTGAGATCCCAGTTTATCCTCAGCGTGTGGTACAACAGTGCAATGAAGGGGAGAACGGTCAGAGATAATATTTACACTTGATAAAATGGAGAGGACCAGTAACTGTTTAAATCTTTGCAAACCTTGGTATTGATATATGCAATCATACTTCTTATTTTGGACCTACTTGCTCCACTTATATGACTTTGAGGACACAAAATCCAATTTTGAAATTTATGGAGAACCTTGAAGCAATTGCGTCACAGAGAAAGGACCTATCATGCAATTTACTCTGGTGAATAACAAATACAAAGGCCACCGGACCACCCAAAAGATAGACCACCGCCCACATATAATGATATAAATTTGGATGTTTCTTTCAGCACAATTCAACCACAAGGCTCAAAGATAATTCACTTATTAGCACAGTAAAAGAAAACCTATCATGAATCAAGGGCAAATAGATCCTATGTGTCCACAGATGCACAAACAGAGATATGGTTCATGGACTTGGAGAGGGACCTGATCCAGCAGCAGAATGTAGAGGGGCAAATCCATTGGGGTCAACTCTGTCTGGATTGGCACCATGATCAAGAAGATACTTGAAAGTGCCCACCCTCTCACCGTACATAGCATGAATCAGAGGCGTTCTACCTGTCAATATATGACAATTGAATTTATTCATCGGAAACACGTGTTCACAGTGCGCACCAAAGAGCAAGAACCAGACGTGCGTGAGGATGCATTTTGTTGACAGAGATCAGAGAAAGAGATGGGCCGACCTCCGTTGTCGACGGCGTTCACGTCCACGCGCAGCTCCTCGACCAAGTAGGCGCACATCTCCAGGTTCCCCCTGGCGGCGGCGAGGTGCAGCGCCCCGACGCCCTCCAGTGCCTCGTCGCCTCCTTCCACGGTCACCGCCTCCACCGTCTCCCTGAGGCGGCCCCTGCCCTTGTCCAGCGCCCTCGCGTGGCCTGCAACCCGTCGGATCACACGAAAATCAGAGCCCGTGCGCGCAGAGAGAGAGAGAGAGAGAGAGAGAGAGAGAGAGAGAGAGTACTCTTGAAGGAGCGGAGGTCGCCGTCGTACGCCGCCTGGAGGAGCATGCTCCGCGTCGTGCCGCCGGCTGCGGTGCGGCGGGTTTGTTATTTGTTAGGTTTTTAACAAGGACGGGGTGATCAGGACAGAGGAGGTGCCGCGACGCTTACCGGGGAACATGGGAGCAGAGCGGCGAGGCGGCGGCGGCGCCATGGCGAGCGGTTGGTGAGGGTGGGGTGGTGGAGGAGTTGGTAGGGTTTTGGGGGTTGGGGGGGGTCGCGGGGCGGGAAAGAAGGGAGGCGCACGCGCCAAGTCCGCGCGGGCGATATGGAAATGGAAATGGCCTCTGGATAAGTGTACGCGGAAATAATTTGCTCCCGCACCGTTGGTGTACACACGGATTTGTTCTAGAGAACCAACACGAGTTTTCTCATAAACTAGTACCTTTTTTTAGGTGGATTTTTTTAGCATCGTCATCCTTTTTTTCCTGGAAAATTTTCGGTCTATTCACCTACAATCATGATAGTACAACGAACACTAGACCTACAACCGAGTAGGACAAAACCTAGACCTACAACTGACGTCATGCACCTCTCCCGTCTCTGTGAAATCGGCCGATGTCGCGGAGTGGGTAGGGGATTGGGGCCGGTAGTAGGTGCCTCTCTCGACTCTCAACAGGTCATGCATCGAGCTTAGAAGTTGGATGAAGTGTAATACCGCAAAGTGGTTACTAATTAAATCATACACATATCCAAAATAGACAAGCAATACATGTCCAAATATCCATTTTCTCCACACCAATACATGTCCAAAATCATACTCATTGATGATCAAGTACAAGCTCTTCATCTTTAAGTCAGAAACATATATACCTTGGTGGTCTTCTGTAGGTTGCTCTTGAGGCTCTGGTTATCCTTCTTCGTGCACCTCCTCGCTTCTTCACGCTAGTTTCTTTGGTTCAAAACAAAATATGAATTTATCCAAGTTTCAAGTCATATAATCAATGCCACAATTGCCATATGCACTAAATGCAACGTATCAACAAGTTATCAAGTTTCAACATGGCAGCAAGTTACATATTCAAATCGTAGACATAATTTAGAGCAAGTTGCATATATAACTTGTTTAAAATGGAGCTAAAGTTCAAAATTTACAAACTATACAAGATTTATACTTTTCTGCCTACAACATCATCATGCACTTTTAAACTGGATGAAACAGTGGGTTGGCAATATTATTATAGTTGAAAGTTGCATAAACAGGAAGTAGACATGATGCTGGTCAAATTTCATATATATAACACTTTGTCACATGAGGCTTGGTTGAATTTATATGAATTAAGCAAAATGCCTAAATGATGTTCAAACTCTAGAGCGAGCTCACGTCTGTTCATCACCCCACTGTGCCCTCTATACCAACCTTGTTGTGCATAGCATCCCGCTAGGAGATGTTAAGCGAGAGAAGGGAGGAGGGAGGAGAGGGGCGGCAGCGGCGGTGAGGACAAAGGGTCGGTGGTGGGAGGAGGGAGGAGGGAGGAGAGAGGAGGTGGAGGGAGAAGGAGGGAGAAGGAGGGAGGAGGGAGGAGAGAGGAGGTGGAGGGAGGAGGAGGGAGGAGGCTTATCGAGGCCAGGGACGGCGACAATGTGGGAACGACGGCGACGATGGGAGGTGGAGCGGCTGCGGTGGAGAGAGTGAGGAACGAGCGGGAGGAAGAGGGTAAGGATGGCTTAGCAGTAGCGCATTGCACATGACCCATGGTACTGCTAAGCCCATTAGCTGTAGCGCTAGGTATTTACCCGATGCTGCTAAGCCACCCTTACCATATTTGCATATAAACTCTTTTTTAAGACATGTATGAGGAATAGACACACTGCCAGAATCCCTGGTCATCCCGTGTAACCAAATTGTTTGTCCTTATAATGGAATGCTTGGGATGTTTAAATGGTATAATTTCTAGTGACATACTCCATGCTACTGGTGCTTCAAGGATGTCAAAAACCATTGGGGGCATGCTTATTTATTGATTATGAACAGTAATGGGCAAGGCTTGTCATAGATGTCCGCGTGAGTTTCAACTGTCCTATTATTCCCATGTGCAATGCCCTCGGACCTTCTTTTCATCCTCTTCCGGACTCACTCCCAGCACCACATATTCTAAACCTATGCATTGGCACATTATTGTTTCTCCCAGAACATAATTGTGCAAGCCAAAAGGAAGATGAAGTAGTACCTAATAACAATAGGAATATGAGGCACTAGGGAAACACAAAGCTTGTTACCTCCAATATAGGAAAACAAATTGAGCTATAGGATCCCCTCAATATTCCTATTCCCACTGATCTTACATGCTCCCTTTATTCCTCTTCCCGGCTCACTCTTTATCCCTTAAACTACACAATTTTGACAATAGGAGGCTCAAACTGTTGAACGATGCATGTAATATTCTGAGAGGTGTTCATGTGTTCACTAAGAATTTTTTTGTTCATGTGTTTATCAAAAATTCAATGTATCCATTGGTTTGGCATGAACATATTTATTTCCGTTTTGTATGCATATGTTGAAGCACATCGACACAATTAATTCAAAACAAGAAGAACAACTAAGGGCATTGAAGATTGTTAGGTACTCGTGTCTTAGCTTGGTCTTTGATTCACCACACTATATAGGAGAATGATATGTCAAGTATCTTGGTGTACTGGAGATTAAGCAATCATTGTCTTCTCATTAGAAGTATGTACAATGTTAGAAGCTATGCATATGTATTCTCACTAAGAATATGCTAGTTTCTTTTATGCATTTACTTTTGATGCCCCATTACTCCATGTTATACCTGACTAGAAGTAGGAGTAGTTTAATTGGCCCAAATAAGTTTTAAACTAAGATGCTGCTCACACAACCCGAGTAATATTCGGATTGATTGATACAGTGATTAATGCAAAGGTTGTGGGTTATCCGCCATTTGTTGGAAATAGTAATATTCGCACTTTAAAATGTCTCTATATTACTCTAATAAATCCAATGCTCCCTTCATTTATGGGTTATTTAAGAGAACATATATTTTTCAAATGGGAGGAGTAAGGCAATCAATGCACATGTCCTTTTTCCAAAACATGTCGATATGCCATAAAGCCACCAATAAATCATAAGAGTAACTCATATGGTTTCTGGATAGCAACCGCTACAAGACGCAACATCTGCTCGAACTCGGCGATGACATATCTCCCGGCACCACACGAGTAGGACAAAACCTAGACCTACAACCGACGCCATGCACCTCTCCCATCTCTACTTTGCCCGATATTGCATAGAGGGTAGGGGATTGGGGTCGATAGCGGGTGCCTCTCTCAACTCTCAACGGGCCATGCAGTGATGTAAGAAGTTGGATGAAGTGTAAGACCGCAAAGTGGTTTCTAATGGTGGTGGTACGTTACAGTCAAGCATCAACCATTCATTTTCTATTAGATGCGTGTGTACTTTTTTTTCCTTCCATACGTATTCCCACAATATTCCTTTGTATCTCTCTGAGTATGTCAACTGATGTTGCCTTGTCTATAGCCCACAACACCACTTTTTGTCAGGAGGCAAATGAGTGAGTATGGGAGAGTGGCATGCTGGCACGTGATCTATCCCCACAAAAAGTTCATACATTTTAGTACATTTGTGAAAAAAAATAGATGGGAGATATCTTTGGAAACAAAATTCTTTTTCTGATCTTTTGTATATGTGAATTCCTCATGACGAAACCTTCAACACAATACCAATATTGGATACATTTCAAACTATATTAACTTTCATTGTTTTAGTCATACTTCAACATATTCAAATAAGTAGAGTTTGAGAAACGTATTTCAATGATTTAAAAAAAACCCGATGGTTTCACCCATTTCAACAAACTGATTGCACTCAACTTAAAATATGTGAAATTGATTTCAACTATTTCAAGAAACAATTTTCAATTATTTGAAAATAAAATCACTCATTAGAAAAACAGATTCCACTCATTTCAATTATCTAATTTCACTCATTAAAAAAGATTTAAGTCATTTAAAAAATGCACTTTTTGAAACATGTGATTTTATTTGAAATGAATAAAATTAGTTTTATGAAACATTTGAAACTATTTTTTTAATATGTGAAATGAGTTATTTCAAATATATGTAATTTATTGTTTCTATGTGTCAAATGGATTATTTCCAACATATGAAACATATTCAGTGTGTCTGTAAAGCTACTTATTTTAGTGTATCTAATATTTGTGAAATCTAAATGACATTAGTTATTTGACATGAGTGGAATTGGATTGTGGAAATAAATGAAATGGGTGATTATTTTTTTGAATCAGTGAAAGCAGTTTTGTAAAATGGGTGAAATCAGTTTCTTTAAAGTGTTAAAATCAGTTTTTGAAATAATCAAAACTAGTTTTTTGAAATGAGTGAAATTAGTTCATTGAAGTCGATGAAATTAGTAAAAGGGAAAAGATTAGCATCAACCGACTGATAAAAGCGCTGCATCCGCCGCTTGATGCGCCGTTGGATCAATTAAAATAACCAACCTTATCTTTTCCAACGTCGTTCTTCTTCTCACACATATTCCTTCCCAAAATCAAGCACCCCCTCTCTTTCCCCAAGTCAGCTTCTAGCAGCAGCGTCACCCAGTCCTGGGATGGCCTCGCGGCTCACACGAGCACCGGTGGCCGGAGCGCCGAGGACGAGATGGTAGTTGTGCCTCTTGCAACATCAATCTCGTCGCTGTCCTGAGACAAGTTTCTGCAACAACCGCGTTGTTGCGGAACAATAGCGAACGACGACTGTGCAGTGCGGAACGCACTAAGAGATGTTGCAATTTTTTAAACATGAGTCTTGTTGCAGAAAATTAGCCGCGGCGGTAGATGTTGTTGTAATTTTTGTAACAAGGATCATGTTACCGAAATTAGGAAGAGAGGGTTTTGCAACATGGGTCTTGTTGCAAGAAATTAGAGAGAGAAGTTTTTGGAACAAGTGTCTTGTTACAGAAAATTATATAAGTGGAGATTTTGCAACAAGAGTCTTGTTGCAGAAATACAAGGTTCATCGGATGGCTCACGAGACGGTGGATTTTGCGCCGAAGGACTAGTTCGCCCCGCGGACAGGGGAATCTATTTCCGAAACTGATGTGTTGTTGCAGGACGTAAGGAGGTGGTCCCGCGCGCGCGGTGGTTAGATCCGACGGCTATCGGGACGCTGATCCAACGAAGCTTCATGCGGCGGATGTTTTCTAATACATCCGTCGGCCGACGCGTAGCGGCTCCCTTAGTAAAATGAAATAACTTAACTATCTTCTAATATGTGAAATTGATTGTTTCAATGTATGGAATTGTTTCAAATATGGAAGAGTGTAATGTGTATGAAACTGATTTCAAATCTAACTGAAACAATGAAAATAAGTTATCGAGATATATCAAAGATTGATTATGTTTTGAAGATCTTCCGGCTACGAATTCAAATGTGTATAAAAACTTGTAAAAACCGAGATTTGGTTTAAAATATATCAATCACTTAAAACATGTCATTGAAATTACATAAACATATTTTGCATGGAGAGAGAATGGATGCAAGGGTCCTTCTCTCCACTCTCTTGCCCTCTCTCCTGTAAGAAAGCTGAGACGACTTGACAAAATCACTTGCATTTCTCTCTGCAACCTTGTGTATTGCTCATGAAAAGATCCCTCAGATTATAGCTATACAAAGCTAACATGAATCTCAATGCAGGTGATGGACGGCAGAGGTTTCACCAGTACATATCCTCACCACCGTTCAATTTGCCATTGTCTTTCATATATCATTCCCAGTATCTCTTGTAACTAATCCCTGTCTTCTATATAAAGCTAAGGTACGATAGCATGCCACCAAGGAAAGGATGATATCGGCAGGCTTCTATGGTATCAAACTGTCACAAGGAAATTCAATAAGAAACTGTCGTAAGGAAAATTCAAGAGCAAAAAATATTGTGGACCAACATATGGTTGGGTGGTTATGACAACAGTGGTATCCTCAGCCCACCAGAGCTCAGTCTCTCGGAGGTGTTCATGGGGATAGGGTGTGCAAGCGTGCGTTCATAGGGGTGATTATATGTGCGTATGTATGAGCGTCTGCGTTTGTACTGTGTTTAAAAATAAAAGGAAAAAAATCTGTCTTAAGCAGCTTTTTATACGGCAAAAGCTTGCAAACGAAGTTCAGCTAAGCCCAGCCCGTTTACGAGCTAGCCCAAATGATGCATCTGTGTTGAGATTGAGAAAGACCTGGATCTGACCTACCGAGAACGTATCCAGTGCAACGAGCCAACTCGTGCACCAGATGCGCCGGCTGCACATGAGCCGTCAGATTGGAATATGAGGGACAGGATCAATCAAAGATGTGGGTGCTGGTACATTTTGCAAAGGGGCCTTGAAGTGTAGCAAAATCGAGCCAAACAACCTCCAAACTCCACTTTGTGTCTTCCCCTTTCGCCATCTTCTGTACCACTGAACCAGACGCTAGGTTCAGCTAGGGTTAGCAGAAAAATTGGGTGACTTGGCGTCTCCCTCTCCTCTTCCTCGAGAACTCCCTCTCTCTCTGGGACTGCCGGCGTTGAAACACCAGCGCCCAGGATCCAAACCATGTAGTTGAGCGGCGGCTCGGTGTGATTGCGCCTATGTAGCGACGCGAGGTTGTAGCTCTGTGGATGGACCGTACTGCTGCATAGGATCCGTCCATCCGCCATTACAGCTCAACGATCCGAGGTATGTGCACTGTATTTCGTTCTTATATTATTCATGGGCAGCCATATTGGTTCTTCTGATTCCTCCTCAGTTGCCCCAATTCGTTTGAACCCATTTCAGAAATTGGACAGTATGGGCACTGAATTTATGTACGAGATGCAACCATAATGGTGAAATTTTATCACTAATTACAATTGTTAGAGTGGAATATAGATGTGCTATGTCTGCTCTGATAATTAGTCAAGTACTTCGCTCAATTTATACTAAAGTCGTACATGAACGACTGAATATGTATGTGAAAAATGAGTACCTGTGAGCCCGCGTACACGGCAAGAGTTTGTTCATTACTACCTTTTTTCTGTGATGTCAATTACTACTTTTTCCTGTGATGTGTACACGCAATAGTTTTTACGTGAAAAATGATTACCTAGAACTAGAAGCTCACATTTGCAGGTGTTTTGTTGAAGCATGCATATGATTGGTTTATCCAGTTCTGTATAATTATTCTATGTAACTCTGAATGAGCCTTACTGTTAGCTTCAGGAAGTTGATTGTATGACCTAGAAAGGGAATTGCTAAGCCTAGCTTCACATAGATTTCAAGATTTGATTTGTATTTATGTGTAACTTCATTTTGCAGACAACTGCTATACATTGTGCTCATGTGACTATTTGGCCAATTAGCGCAACCTTATTATTATGTGTATTGAGCACAATTCCTTTTTCTCATGTGTGTTGTTGCTCTGTACTGCAGCAGCAACAGCAGCATCTGAAACTTTGAAGATAAGTGAGAACATGTTCAGCATCATTCATCATCTGAAACTTGGAAGATAATTGAGAACATGTTCAGCATCATCATCTGAAACTTGGAAGATAAGTGAGAAGATGTTCATCTGTAATAGATATTTTTAGCATCATCATCAGAAATTCTTGCTCTGTACTTTAGCAAGTGAGACACTTCTAATAGACAAACAAGATTTAATTCTGCAAATATGTCTTAGTTTTTCAGCATTATAAAGACAATTGTTGTCCAACCAAATCACTTTTGATCTTAGCATGGCCTTGCCTGGATCGCTTAAGTTCTGTTTTTTTTCCTGAATTGTTCTTTGGACTGCAGGCTACCCCTTATATGATAGAATCATGTTTCTTTCTACCAGGCAGTTGTATTGTTCGTACTTGGAGTTTCAGAGCCAGTACATATTCAGTGAAGTGCAACGGGAACCAGAGGGGATGGCACCATGCAATCCATGATTAGTGTTAAGCCGTGAGTTGATGTAACTGGGGTTGGTTTGTGTGGTTTGGGTATTTTGATAAGCTTGCTCGTTTAGGTTAGTGTTAAGCCTTGAGATATGTTACCTGACAATCACACTTGATGGATACAGTTAAGCTATGTAATGTACGGTTGTAACTAGAAACCTCACAGATGAGTGTATCCATTAAATCTGTGTCTATTAGAAGAAAATCACTGTTTGCAGGTGTAGTTCGTTCAGTTTTTTTGTTATATATACTCGTTGCATCAGTTCAAAGGTGAGTATTGCATGTGTAGAACAAGTGTGTCAAAATTTACTCTCACTACTAATGGATTGGTCACAGTAACCAAGACTACTGAAGAAAATCTCTTTTTAAAACTTAAGAAAATGATTTTTCAACTTGGTCAAACAAAAAAGTTCGGTTTGATCACGTCTCCGCAAACAACAGCAGGATATTTTCTGGCTCAGATTGGTACATCAATACAGGATTGGGCAGTACTATTCGTAGCATTCAATAATACTACAAGGTTCCCTTTGTAAAATGTACCAGCAGCCCAGATCCTGTCCCTTTGATTCCAATCTGACGGGTCATGTGCAGCTGGTGCATTCGTTACACGAGTTAGCTCGTTGCACTGGATACATTCTCCTGACCTACCTCCGCCGCCACCCAGCGCGGCGGCCATGGCGACGGCAGCAGCGACTCCTCCCCATGGCGGCCTCCCGGAAGAGGTCGTGGTATGGGAGATCCTCGTCCGCCTGCCCCCCAAATCCCTCCTCCGCTGCCGCGCCGTCTGCCGCGCCTGGCGCAGCGCCACCTCCGCCCGCGACTTCCTCGCCGCCCACCACGCCCGTCAGCCCAACCTCCCCATCGCCTTCCAGGAATACCACGGCAGCCAAAGCTTACTCGCCTTCGACAACCGGGGCGCCGCCGCCGCCCAGCTCCAACCCGTCGCCCGGCTTGACGACGACTCCAGTCTGGAAGCCTCCTGTGACGGTCTACTCCTCCTCACCGACTATGGCAGGGGTGTTCCAAGGTTCTGTGTCTGCAACCCGGCCACTCGTCAGTTTGCTTGCTTGCCGACGCTTTCCGGTTTCGTGCCTCTGGCTCTGGGGATGTATCGGCACGGCCCGACTGGCGAGTACCGAGTACTCGTCTGCCCGAGAGATGAAGATCCGGCGACTGATGCATGCTACATCTTCGCATTGGGCTCCGTCCATCCACTGAAGAACATCGGATGGCTGCCGGAGGTGGATGAAATGTGTTCCAGTGCTGTTCTCTCCCGTGGTAGCCTGCATTGGCACCTGCAGCAGTATGAGAGTGCAGCCAAAGTGATAATGGCATTCGACACCACAGCTGAGTCGTTCCGGCGGATGCGTGGTCCAGTCGTTCCTAGCAGCGATGGCCTATTTGCTGGCATGTTTGAAATGGATGGCATTCTCGGCGTGGCCTGCTCTAATGACAAAGACAAAATCATTGGCATATGGATGATGCAGGACTACGAAAGCGAGGTCTGGACCTTAAAATACCGCTTTGAATTGCCGTTTGAGGAGATCAAGATGCAGTGTGACATGAGGCAGGTTAGGGTGAAGCATGGCGATATGTTGATTGTGGTTGTGCCCGATGGCAATTGTGAGTTGCTCGTGCTATCACGATTTGGCAATGGGCTGTTTCAGATTAACATGGATGGCAAGTTGGTTGGAAGTTTCTACCGTGAAGACCTCTGTCTTACTCAACTTCAGCTCAAACAAACTCTTGTTCCGCATACATTCTTTCCGGCGCTAGAGGGTTATGTTGTGAATGTTCCACCTTTCATCTGAGGGCTGTTGAGTGAGTGGGTTCTTCTTAATGGCCTAAACGTTTGTATCCTCATAAGCTACAGTATGCATGAGTTGGACCCGTATGTTCCATTAGCTCCTTTGTTGATACATATAAAGTTATATGATCAAGAAACTGTTATTCTTATGTAGTTCCGTGCAATCTATGCTTGTTCTGTCACCCTTTCATGTTGAAGGCAGTGACTACTGTGCATGTTAATTCTAAAATTAGCAAGTCATTTTGATATGTGTTTCAAATATGTGCGAACTATTATATGTGATGTTTCTATTGTTTTGAACTGAAGGATTAGTTTACTCTTTTATCTAGTGGTCTTCTCAGTTCTTACTATGTGGCAATCTACCTGCCTTTTGTCTCTATATGTCTATAAGGGCTTGAAACACCGCACGTAAATTGAATAAATGACTGCATTTTGTACTCAACCTAGCAGTGAGTTCTGTTGTTATTCTTCTTGTTCAAGAATCCATTCCATATGGTTCTATAATGAAATATTCTGTTATAAATCCTACTTTCTGGTTCATCGTCTGGAATTATATCCATTATTTCACATTAGCTTCTTATCATTGTAAGCAATTATCTATCATTTCATTTTAGTTGCTAACCATTCAAGGAAATATTGTTTCATTTGGTTCCACTTTAAGCAATAGTTAGTATGAATTCAATTGTTTCTTTGTTGATGTGCACAGAGTTATCAACTTATGATCAAGAAGCTCTGACTATTACATGGTTGCATGAAATTTATTTTTCTTTGGATATCCTTTTGGGAGAAGTGGCTACTGTGCAGGTGGATGCTAAAATTACCAAGTCATTTTTGTCAGTGTCTGAAATATGTCAATCGATCTGCCTGTTCTTAGCTGATTACTGATGAAGAATTGACTTGGCCTTTTCTCGATATTGTCTTGTTTTCTGGAGATTATCCCATGTCTTCATAGTAAATGTTCAGCAAATATATATTAGTTTCGTGGTTCCAGGTTTTGTTGTAGCTGAGCATGGAATTAAGGCAAATTATCCTCTGTGTTGACCAGCAAGTTGCACATGATTTTTATTCATGACCATTTAAGGAAATAATGCTTCACTTGGCTCCTGTTTTAATCGATAGGTGTTGTGAATCCAAATCCACTAGCTTCTTTGTTGATGTATACAAAGCTGTGATCAAGAAGCTCTGACTGTCACATGGTTGCATGAAATTTATTTTTCTTTGGATATCCTTTTGGGCAGGAGTGGCTACTGTGCATGTCGGTGCTAAAATTATCAAGTCATTTTGGTCAGTGTTTGAAATATTTGCCAATTGGTTTGCCTCACGTCTCTGTTTTTCTTTACTGATGAAGAATTGACTTGGCCTTTTATCAAGGTTGTCTTGAGATTGTTCCATGTCTTCGTAGTACTATATGAGTGTTCAGCATTAGTTTCGTGATTCCAGGTTTTGTTGTAGGTGACGTTGAAAAAAGGCAGCTTATCCTCTTTGTTGACCAGCAACTCGCACCTGATTTTAGAGTCATGAACCCATCGCGCCTGGTTAGGCATTGACATGTGCTATAATTTTGTCTTCCTATTGCATCGTTAGGAGTTATCTGTAACAACATATCTTTAGCTGCTAACCATTTAAGGGAATTGATTGATGCTTCTTCTGATATTCAACCTTGACATAAGCGCAAGGAGAATCTGTAGTGATAAGCGGAGGAAAGGGTTATCAGGTCAGGTCCCACGCCGCCGCTTTCCTGTTGTAACTGCGGTTGTAAAGTGTGTTGAAAGCCCCCTCTCATCAGCTACTAGTTGTTACTGCATGTATTAGGATGCGGTTACATTTCACACACTGGGTGCCTCGGCTCTGCTGCAGTTCTGCGAGGCTCGGGATCGGGTAGTGGTGTGCCAACTCGTGACCTCGAGCTGCTGCCCGTCCAGCTGCCGGCGCAACAGCTTGTGCGAGGGCGCAGCCCCGTCTGTCATGCCTCGCCTCGCTCCTCCACGCAGCAATCCCAAGATGAGCGCACTCCACCGGTGTCTCCGCCACTCTCCCCAACCACCGTCCTGCCGCCAAGCCCTGCTTCTAAACGTGACGAGACCAGGAGCTCCCCCTGTTGGGTGCGACTCATAGCCAGCCTCTGCTCGAGCCGTGCTTGCCTGAGGCGATGGTGCACCTGGCTTCCAGTCATCGCCAACGCCGCCGCTGGTCTGCGTCGGCACCATAAGGCGTACCCCCTCCCCGGTGCACCGTCACGCCGCACAAGACGGAGAGGAGACCCTGGCGCCCATCTTCGAGGAGCGGCAGCTGGGCATCCTTGCCCCGCCTGCGTCGCCTCGTCCCAGCCCTCCAGTGGCTTGACGGAAGACGCTGGCAGGAGTTAAAATCTCCAACAAGGGCGGCCTCTCGCTGCAAAGGATCAAACGAGCGGGTGCAGGTGTTGTTGCAGCTCCAGCAGCCAAGGTGGCGGAGAAGCTCGTCTGTCGCACAATGGGAATCACAAGAGACGGAGAAGATGTTACTGAGGCTACCTTGAACGACTTCACAGCCAAGTTTAAGGAGCAGCTGGCTCCAGAGGTGATCATGGCCATGAGGGAGTTCTTCCACCTTGATGCTGCTGCTGTCAACGGTGTCGAGGACGCACTGCTGGACCATGGTGCTGAGGGTGCGCTGGAGCTTGCTCAAGAGGGCCATCTAGCACAGGAAGTCGTGGGATCGCAGCCGGCTACGGCTTGATCTCCCAGTCTGCATGCTTGGGCTAAGTTGGGATGTTTTAGTTGATTATGTTAGTCCAACTAAGTAATGTGTCGTGGGGTGGCTCTGTTGCTTTTGTTTTTAGGTGTGTGTGTTGTATCAGGGGTGCATGGCGTTGCCTTGTGTTGGGCTACATGCGGTGTTGTACTGCTCCAGTTGGACAGCTATTTCAATGGCTACGTTCTGTGTCCTTTCTTGCTACATGGTCAGGACCGTCAGGTTTATGTGCATGATGGTGTGTCCCATGCTGATATAGCCAATCAACACGTTCAGTTGGAACGTCCGTGGTTTAAACTGCTCAGCTAGGCGGGCAACAGTCAGTGCAACGATCGCCGCCTCCTCATGTCAACTCGTGTGCTTACAAGAGACGAAGCTTGCCAGTGTTGACAAGTTTGTTGCCGCCTTCCTTGGTGGTAACAGACTCAAAAAATTCGCGCAACGCCCGGCCACTGGGACTAGGGGAGGGATCCTTTTATTGTGGGACGACAATGTTCTAGACGTCTCCGATATCTCAGCTTGAACCTATTGCCTCTCCGGCATGGTCCGCATCCATGCGATCGACATGTGTTACAAACTCACTTTCGTCTATGGTCCCACAGACTATGCTTGCAAGGACGACTTCTTCGCCGAACTTACCACCCACAAGCCTTTTTTTTGAACCGTGAACAGTAGGAGAACCTCCTACTGTTGTAACCTGTATTATTAAAATTTGTACAATTTACATGGCATCTTTACATTTATCAACCCCCATTTTGGGGGGTGGGGAGAGTACTAAGCTATTGAGGAAAGGATGAGGGGGATGAGATGTTTATGCTTTTCCTTGACCCTATAGGTAAGGAGAGAGAAGTCCTTCTTAAGTCTGTCCAACCAAGATGTTTTTGTTGGTGCAATCCCCCTGAAGTGTTTGTTATTGCGTTCCTTCCATATGCTCCAAGCCGCAAGTAAGAACAACTCCATAAAGAGAGGTCGGTCCCAACTGATTTTGGCCATAGTGACCGTTTGTAGCCTTGAAGCTCCTTGTGCCCAAGAAAGACCAAGACTAGTCCAGCATTCAGCACTGAAGTGGCATTCAAAGAACAAATATTCCATGGTTTCCTCAATTTGCAACCCACATAGAATACAGTTGTGATCCTCTCCAATATTGTAATGTCGACGTTTACCTGGTGTTGAGGCGGTCGGAAAGCCCACAAGCCTTTGGCTAGTGTTGGTTGGCTTGCTGTGGGAGACTTCAATCAGATCTATTGTGCACGTGACAAAAACAAGATAAATGTTAATCGAAGTAGGATTAACCGGTTCCGCGCTACTTTGCAGTCCTGCGAGCTCAAGAAAATCCATCTTTAGAATAGACGCTTCACGTGGAGTAATGAGCGGGACAACCCAACGCTTTGCAAGCTTGACTCCTTCTTCTGCAATGCGGAATGGGATACGACATTCAACACCCATGTCTTGCACGCTTTGTCGTCCTCCCTTTCCGATCATTGTTCGCTCCTTCTCGCGGATGACAGGGGCCCCAGAAGGCCGCGGTCCTTCAAATTTGAGAATTTCTGGGTATCTTTGCCTGGATTCAACAAGGTGGTTCAGAAGGCATGGGACGAGCACGTGGGTCACACAGATCCTTACCAAGTCTTGCACCATAGGCTCAAGAAAACTGCGACTCGGCTCTCTGAGTGGAGCAAGAAGCTCTTTTCCAAGGCTAAGATTCAACTACATGCAGCCCTGCTTGTGATTCTTCGCCTCGACATTGCACAAGAAGAGCGGATTCTTTCTCCCGAGGAACATGACTTACGTTCTAGGCTCAAGCGGAGGGTTATTAGTTTGGCGGTGCTTGAGAGGGCTAGGAAAAGCCAATGTGCCAGGAATTCAAATACGAGGGATGGTGATGCAAACACCAGATTCTTTCATCGCCCCATTAATTCCCAAAGACGAAAAAACCACATTCATCGTATCAAACATGCACAAGGGTGGGTGACTGAACATGAGGTAAAAGAGAAGATCATCCATGACCACTTCTCTGAGGTCATGGGGAGGAGAGGCACGTGCAACAAAAATTTTAATTGGGAGGAGCTCGACATCGAGCCCCATGACTTACATGACCTTGGCAATACCATCACGGAGGAAGAGGTGTGGGAGGCCATTAAGGAGATGTCTGGCAATAAGGCACCTGGACCGGATGGCTTCACGGGGACCTTCTTCAAAAAGTGTTGGGGAATCATCAAGCATTCGGTCATGAGGGTTATTTAACACTTCGATTCCCTACACACCTCCAAC